AAATTTGTACGTTTTTGAGTCCAATTCGATGGTGGGGCCGGATGCCGGTCTGTCCTAGCAGACTGAAACACATTATGAGGGTTTTCGCGAACGTCTGACAGGATCCCATGTCAGAAAGAGTTTCAACTCCCACCTCTGACAGACATCCCGGTAAAGATGGTGGACATTGAGTCAGAGTGGATCATAAGCCGTGCCTCCATTGTTGAGGCAGCGGATTGAGGCTGTAGCCATAAGGTGGCCGGTACCTGGTGTAGCGGCAACCCTCGAAACTTTTTTTTTTGACACCAGTGGTGAGTGTGGGACTCCAGAGGCAGCTGATTTGTACCGGCTGGCAAAGCGGAATCGAGCCTTGGCGGTCATCGAGACAAAAACTGAGATGTGGAAGTAGTTCGGTGAAGCCATGGAGAATAACTTCCAGATGGCATTGAAAAAAATTCTGTTCCACCATCTGGCGTTTTAGGAGTGGGAAGCAGTGCACCATCAACATCGTGTATCGTTGGGATGTGGAGTTGCTGACCCCATCTCGGGACATTGTGATTCATGCATGGGAATGCGTATTCCCTGCTTAATGGTATGATCAGTGAGTTTGTGTAAAACTGCTGGTGCAGAAGATCATATCACATCAGTACAGGTTCAGCCTCTCTGCGGTTAAAGTTGGTGTAATTAGCGTAAGGACTTTCGAGATTACCCTGCAGCTCAGTTGCATAAAAGTTGCTGTACAGCAATCCATGGCAGAGCCCTGGCTCACGGCAATACCTGAGGCTGGGGGACTCCACTGCTCTCTCTACTGGCTGTTAACTGGTTCCCCACCTTGAAACGAAAAGATGTTGGGCTTTTACAGTTAGCGTTTGGGAAATACCTTGCCTTTGGGTCTTTTAGTGTGTACAGCCGGTTTATCATCGACCTACATTTAAACACTATTTACCCCCCAAACACTTTTTTTTTTTTGGTTTACATATGTGCCAAAATGCTTTTTCACCCCAGCTACTTATCTCTCCTAAGTTGCATATCTATAAAACCTCAAATTTGGCACATAGTCCAATTTTCAAATACATTTTCTGTCTAGCAATCAATTTTCAATATAATTTATATAGGGCCATGGGGAGCTATTGCATTTAGCCTGGACTGATTCCCAGTCAATCACAGGACACACATAGAAACAGGCAATCATTCACAATCAAATGCACACCACCACTGAATGGGGAATGAAACCACGTCTGCGTCAACCAAAATCAAGCGAGTGAACCACTACACCATCAGGGAGTTTAAATAAATGCTCCCATACAAAATAATTGGAATATCAACTGGTTCTGAGGTCAAACTGTATCTCATTAAACTTTTAAATGGCAACGTGTTCATTTCACTTCATTTTATTCTCATGCAGAAGTAATAACACTCATAACCCTTTGGGCACCAGAGTTTTTTTTAATTAGATATTAAGTTTTATGTCCTTTCAAAACATTGCAGCTTGAAAATGGCAAATACTTTGGTGCAGGTTAATACAAAGCATAGACGGTACTACAGTACAGTATTAAAAGGCATTGTGAGTTGGAGGACAATTATAAGTTGTAATCCTGAATCATGCTAGGTTCACAGTTGTGTCATTTGAATTCGTGATTTCAATGATAAACAATAATAATAACAATAATAAAACAGCAATACATATTTTGACTTCATTAAGGCATTCAGTTAACATTGTTGTTATTAATGTGATTGCAGTTTAGAGTGCACGAAGAGCTTTTGAGGCACTTTGGTTCCATCTCAGAGTCAAAATATCAGAAACATTTTTGAAAATGCAGTGCAAGTTCTACAGTACTACACTACATTTATATGGCTCGCCTAATATTTTGATACTAGGCCTATTATTTTGCTATGGTACTTTAATTAATATGCAAGATACAATGTACTGGTAGTATTTCTAAAGTCGAAGTGTTCGATGCATCCCTTAAAATGATTATAATTTCACTTACAGATGTATTTGTTGGACGAAAGCAGATCAATTAATCACACAAACAATTCGATGAAAACTGTTTCTGATTTTATTGTTTAACTTTGACTGCCAAACTGTACTGCATACAGTAGTTACCCAAACATAGACAATTGCAGAATGCCAGGAGCGTGAGCTTCTACAATCATGCATTTTAATAATTTTACATTCCATGTTTGTACTGTTGGACGCTACAAGTACAGTATAGCGTACTCATATCTGAGTTGCGTTTTCACTCCTGCTTGACTGAACTGCACTGACAAGTCAACTCATGTTTATCCAGGTTAGCAATTAAAGTCAGATGGGAGCGTCGTCGCTGTCCCATGCCACCAGCTGTCCCATTTTCTCATAACACGAATCAACACAAGGCTCATTTGCTTTTTGGTTTGCTCAAACTGTTTTATACAAATCATTGGAACAGCAATTTGAGTAGGACATGGCTCAGGGCAGCATAGTGAAGCATCACCTCACCCAAATATTCAGAGTGTGAATCTGTTGTCTCAGCGCTTTTGTTAAGATCAGCTTTTCTATTTACAGCTCAAATGGTAGCTTTATTCCATTCCAGAAACAAAAATGTTTTCCTCCCCATTCTGCTTAGTATCAAAGTCTGATTTGTGAACGCATCAGACAAAGTGTGGGAAGATGGGGTTCAGCCAGGACTGACCGACATCCCAAAACCTAAATAAAGTAATAAATAAATACATAAATAAATACATAATCAGAAACTATTGACTCATCACATTTAACAGAAAGCCCTGATGTAGTTTTTCCCAAAAAATAACTTCATAAATTGAAAATAAAATAGCTGCTTGGTTGCTTGATAGACTATGAATATTGTAATGGCAACTGTTAACATTCATAAGGTACACGTTTATATCATGATTGCATTTGGGGCTGTCCTGCAATCACATAATCTGGTGGGATTTTCTCTTTAAACTTGAATGTGTACTGTGCTGCAATATGTTTTGTTTTTTTTTTTTGTTTTGTTTTTTTACCAAAACCTAAATATTTTCATCTTCAGCCAACACATGCTCAAAAATTAGTGACTGTATTTTCAGCTTGAAAAGGCAAATCTATCCCTTACCCTCCATTGTGCTATGGTACGGGCGCATGAGTTGTCGACGTGTTGAAAATGTGACATGGGCATATGTGATATTGCTCCCCGAGACACGAGAATGTGAAGTTCAAGGTTCCCACAATGCCTCACTTTTAGCTATAAATACTAATGTGCTTATATGTTCCATACTGTACAGCTGTTTGCTTCGTGAACAAGAGTATGAGAAATGTTCACCAGTATTTGTATGAACCATCAATTATTAGTTTTGTTCCATACACAATACGTGCATGAGTGACCACCCGGCCTGAGCTCTTGTCAAATGTCACTCACTGCTGTGACCCAGGGATGATTAGTGGTAACTGCTTTTGGTGGTAAAAGCCATTTCTCAGTTGAAATTCTGCCATCACCATCTTATCAAAGTAAATAAATTAACATTGTTTTTTGATGGGTTACTGTTGTCTGCCTACTTAGCTGAGCTGTTAGTTATTACTGTAAGGCCTGGATATTTTGTGTAGATAGTGGACAGTGCGCCAGTGTGTGTGGCGATGCTCCAGCTGCTTCAGCTTTATTTTCTATTCATAGTGCTTGGTTTATGATCGCCATTCATTGTCAGATTTTCAACCATACGTTGGAAGTTCGGCTGCGTTTGAGCATGGTAGTGTTGAGGAGAGGTTGCCGACGTTTCTAACAGACGTACCGGCTGACTTCTTCCACGTTCATGCGATACAGTGGATCACAGTATTCTGTTGGCTCATTTGCAGCACCTGGTGGGCATTGGCGGTAGCGCCCTTGCATCGTTTAGGTTCTATTTGGCTGACAGAACGTTTTGTGTTAGCCTTGGTTGCTTTGAGTCACGAGCTGCCACACTGTTGTGTGGTGTTCCACAGGGTTCAATTCTAGGGCCTCTGCTGTTCTTATTTGCTCCCTTTGGGTTCCATCTTAAGGAAACACGGCATTTCCTTCCACTGCTATGCGGATGTCTGTCTGATCTATGACCCACTGAACAAAAAAGACGCTTTCTCATTGAGGCCACTTTTATCCTGTCTCGAGGAAATCAAGACCTGGATGGCACTGAATTTCTTGAATGTCAAAGAAAAGAAGACACAAGTGGCAGTGTTTGGTCCCAATGTCCCTTGTAGGTCCCATCCTGTAGATTTGGGCCCCCTGGCTCCTAATCTTAAACCAACAGTCTCGAACTTGGGTCTTAAACTGGACAGTGAATTTAAATTGGACAGGTAAACTGGTGCTGTTGACAAATCCAATTTCTTTCATCTTAGGCAGCTGGCTAAAGTACAGCCTTTCCTTTCTCAAGATCACTTTGAAACAGTAATTCATGCCTTCGTCATATCTCTGCTTGTTTACTGTAATGCACTTTATTTTGGAGTCAGCCAATCCACCATTAAGTGTCTCCAGTTGGTCCACAATGCTGCTGCTCACCTCTTGACTGGAACTTGTAAGAGGGAGCACCTAACTCCTACTTTGGCATCCCTTCACTGGCTCCCTATATATTTTAGTTCTTTTTAAGATCCAATTATTTGTTTTCAAATTTTTAAATGGCCTCACCCCACCTTAGCTCTCAGAGCTCTTCTACCCCTATGCACCTGCTCAATGTCTCGGGTGTGCAGACCAGACATGATTAGAGGTACCGAAAACAAACTGTTTTTGTGCTTTCTACCGTCTTCGATATTCACTTATTGTTCTATTGTTTGTTGTATGAATTATTTTTGCTCCATGTACAGCACTTTGTATACAGCGGTGGTTGTTTTAAAGTGCTCTATAAAAACAGTTGAATTGAATAATTGTGTGTGTGTGTGTGTGTGTTTATGTATATATATATATATATATATACTGTATGTGTGTATGTGTGTGTGTGTGTGTGTGTGTGTGTGTGTGTGTGTGTGTGTGGGGGGGGTAATTTTTTTCATTCCTGTCACCAAAGCAGCTAATTTATGATTGAAGACTTCATCGCTTATGTATACATGTCTATTTTGTAATCATGTCTGTTGTGTCCCGAAGCTCTTCTTTCCAAGTCTCAGAGCGAACAAGTTTCTTCTTTGCACCTCCCAGCCCAATCCTATGTGTCATTGCCCGAATAGAGCATTTCATAGCTCTGTGACATAGTATGTGTCCATTTCCAAAAAAGTATGCGCACATGCTGGCCTCACGACTATGCACGCAATGTTTCTAACACAGAATCTTAAACGCGGATGCAAATAGTCCAAAAAACGTCCTTACCAAATATTTGCATTTAAACAAATATGTTTTAAAAAGCTCACACTTCACATCTGCAGTGATAAAGTAAGGTGGCATGTTCCATGCGTACCTGCCCTCCTGACAACGTGGTTAAAGCTCTCACGGAGGCACACCGCTCACCATGGTGCTCAACATTGGTATTCAGTTACTGTAGACAAATACAGCAGAAGAAGAGAGCGGCCTGTCTGTGTGTCAGACTGAACAACAGCATCATGGATACTGGTAAGCAACTTCGACTTATATACCATATATATATATATATATATATATATATATATATATATATATCTTTTTCTTTGATGAAATGAGTACTTTAGAAACAGTTTTCAATGATTAGGGCTGAATAATTTGCATTTGTCATTCTGTGTTAGGTTATAGTTTTTATAGTTATTACAATACAGTATAGAATTCATGGAAAAATTATATCCTGCACGTATGCATTTTTCCCAATAATCATAATCATATTTTTTCATTATAACTACATTTTTGGGGCTTTTCTAAAATATTGTGCACAATGTTATGTCTAATGAGTTACAATTGACATTAGAATCTTAAAATGTTCTGCCCTCCATTTCATGTCTGATATTTGAGTTTAAAAAAAAACGTCTGGTAACTTTTTCAAATGAAAGTTTTAATTAAATGTTATGCCATGAAAAACTCTGGTTTAATGTACGTCCAGTTAGCATTGCATTTGCACTGGCCATCCCAAAGACAATTTCCATGACATTGACACATGACTCTCAAAGAGTGACTCCTTTATGTTGCTAAACTGTGAAACATTCAAATCAACATATTTGTGACACTAATCATGTACTCTACGTGACATTGCAATACCCGAGACATCGGAACCGCTTCTGCATTAGGACTATGTCTAGGCACACTGTTTTTATTGCCCAATAGAATATTCAAAGAGAGTGTACCAGGGCGTCCGAGTCAAGCACACAGTCAAAGACCTGTTGGCAGAGAAACGATCCCGACAGACAAATGGGCCAAGATACAGTGTAAGTACAACATTCTGAAAACCACTACGCTTTTGTCCCTTCCTGTCTCTCCATCTATTTTTTTCCCCACTCCCTGACCAAACCTCAAGGCCACAGTTGACATTCTGCTGGTGGCCTTTTAAAAATCTCCCCGTCTGTTGATGTTCAAGCTGGTTATGTGGACGAAACATTCATGGTTGGTCCATTGTCTATCTTGTAACCACCCTCCCCAAGCTTTCTTTGCTTAGAAAAGCCGTCAAGCTCTTGCAAAGCCAATCCGCAAATAGCAAAGCACGGTGCTGAGAGGACAACAAAAGAGCACTAATTCACTGCTAGCAATAGTGATGGCCATGCTTTCCAAAAACCTTCTGTGTGCTGGAGGAGGGAACGGGTGGACGAGTACCATAGAGAGACAGTGAAAAGCTCATGCAGGAGGCTGCCTATGCAAAGTTTGAGCCGTACACACCTGCAGGCCTGTATTGTCCGCAGTCTTGCACAGGCCACAGACAACCGCTCTATTGTTGCCTCAAAAACACACAACAACACGCATTCTCACTTGCAGTAAGGATTCGCTTTAGACATCGACATGCACAAGCAAGACTGCTTTTTCATCCAAACCACCTAACAGAATCTTGTTGCAGGACAGTGTTTGCTTTTATGCTGGAATCAGACAATCACCGATTGAAAATGCCTTTTATTTACGCATATGTGAGACATAACCGGGGAAGGGCAGCGCGGTTGGGCCTGTGGTTTGGACGCCTATCTCGCAGTCAAATGTTCTGTGTCCAAATCTCCACTTACATGAGGAGTTGTATTAAGGGCATTGAAGTTTCCTCCCACATTTCAAAAGATGCATGTTAGACTGAACTGAAGACTATAAATTGCCTAAAGGAATGGATACAATCTTGAATAGCTGTCAGTTTAAGTTGTACCTCCACCAATCACCCAATGTTGGCTGCGATGGGCTTCCGCCCACCTGTGGCCCGAAACAGAATTAGCAGTGGGAAATGGTTGGATGGACATGACACAGAAACATTGAGCTGGATCTCAGAGGGAAGTTGAATCTATTCATCCATCCATCCATCCATCCATCCATCCATCCATCCATCCATCCATCCATCCATCCAATATATTCATCCATCCATCCATTATCCAAATCACTTATCCTCAAGAGGATCACGGGCGTGCTGGAGCCTATCCAAGCCATCTTTGGGCAGTCGGCGAGGGTACACCCTGAATTGGTTGCCAGCCAATCGCAGGGCACGCGTAGGCAAACAAACATTTACACTCAGTCATACCTCGGAACAATTTAGAGTGTTCCATTAACCTACCATGCATGTTTTGGGCATATGAGAGGTACCCGGAGTACCCAGAGAAAAACCATGCAGGCACTAGGAATAGATAACATGTAAACTTCACACAGAAAGCCAGAATCTGGAATTGAACCCTGCATCTCTGCACCGTGAGGCGGACGTGCGAACCACCAAAGTTTAATCTATGCTGAAGATAAACAAATAAAGCACACTTCTGAAAAATCATCCAAAACGTCATTGAGATTGCTTTAGAGCAAAAGCGAGATAAAATAGTGGACTGTGAACTGTGAACATTTTCTATATTGTGATTTATTACAGGCGGCCCGGTGGTCGACTGGTTAGCGCGTCGGCCTCACAGTGCAGAGGTGCAGTGTTCGATTCTGGCTCCGACCTTCCTGTGTGGAGATTGAATGTTCTCCCCGTGCCTGTGTGGGTTTTCTCCGGGTACTCTAGTTTTCTCCAACATCCCCAAAAACATGCGTGGCAGGTTAATTGAACACTCTAAATTCTCCCTAGGTGGGAGTGAATGGTTGTTCTGCTCTGTGTGCCCTGCGATTAGCTGGCAACCAGTTCAAGGTGTACCTCAAACACAGCTGGGATAGGCTCCAGCACACCCTGCAACCCTTAGATAAGAAAATGGATGGATGATAAATTACAGTTATCATTCTACTGTCCCAGGAAAGTGAAAATAAGTTTTTTCTACATTTGACATACCACAAACAATAGTGTTGTGAACGATCCTGTCAAGTTTGATTGATTGAGATAATCTCCAAGTATGTCAAATCTCCCCCACATAAGAAAAATATTACTAATTTTTGTAGGGCAGGATCTTCATTTTCGTGCCGGGGCGTAAATCCCTCTGAATCATTGCAGAAATCAATGAATTGAATGAACAACAAACATAATCATCTGATGAATATTTCAACAGAACCCCCCTGACCGCATAGCACAACTATTAGGTGGGGGTCAAACATGGACGCACGGCCGTGGGTGCAAGGTGGTCTCCAATTGCTCATGTCACATGTGACCAAATACATCATCCGCAAAGGGAGAACTCTCAGTTTCCAAGTCTAAATGCACTTTGAGTGCGCCAGTGTCATGCACAGATCTCACTGAGTCTATTTCTTCTTCCACTTAAACCACCCTGATTTTAATGGAAACGAGGGGATCCGCTTCGATTGGCATACATTACATAAATGCCCCCGTTATGCCAATTTCTACCTGTGTAAAGTCTCGGAAAATACCAAACAAAAGAACCCCGCCACACTTAGACTGCACTCTGTGCTAGACTTGTGCTAAGCCTGAAAATGTGACCCATAGACTCTCAACGCTGTCAGTGTTTTCGCTAATTGCATGAAACCATGCTCAGCTGAAAAATGCATGCCTCATTGTCAAGCACCTTTCTTTTGCCCACAGCATGGGAAAATACAAGTTTTGTCATCATGGCCCCACCAAATAAGACCAAGGCATTATCGAGACAAAAACAAGACCAAGATTATATCCAGCCCCACCCAACCCCCAAAAAACAACAACAACAAAATGACCAGTGTCTGTTTCATTGTTTGCAAAAAAAAAAAAATTATGCCTTGTGCAAACAAAATTCAAATTATAGAAGCCAGAAAAACACATCATGCCTCACTACAAAGTCAATATGAATTACATCTTATTTTAATGAAAGAAATTAAATTTCAGTTTGAATTTACTGCTCTTAACCCTTTCAGAGACAGCAGTTAATACAGTGGACAGCTAATCAGGTTATCAGGTTACAGGTTAGCATTATTTGTGCTTTAAAATGATCCTTACTGAATTTTAATTGAATTAAATCTGCTTGAACATTTTTTTAAGCAATATTTATTCTCAAGGCGGCCAGGTGTAGAGTAGTTAGCACGTCGACCTCACAGTGCAGAGGTATTGGGTTCGATTCCAGCTCCGGCCTCCTTGTGTTGAGTTTGCATGTTCTCCGTGGGCCTGCGTGGGTTTTCTCCGGGTACTCCGGTTTCCTCCCACATTCCCAAAACATGTGTGGCAGGCTGATTGAACACTTAAAATTGTCCCCAGGTGTGAGTGTGAGCACGGATGGTTGTTTGTCTCTGTGTGCCCTGTGATTGGCTGGCAACCAGTTCAGGGTGTCCCCCGCCTACTGCCCGAAGACAGCTGGGATAGGCTCCAGCACCCCTCGCAACCCTTGTGATGATAAAGCAGTTCAGAAAATGGATGGATGGATGGATGGATGGATGGATGGATGGATGGATGGATGGATGGATGGATGGATGGATGGATAGTCTACTTATAAGATGTTTCTGTGTCTTGATGATTTTATTTCCTGCAACGACTTGCCAAAAAAACCCAAAATCAAACAAAAAAAAAAGAGTAAATTCAAACACGGGCCTCGCACATCACAAAACATGCATGTTAGGTTAATGCAGTGGTTCTCAATTATTTTCTGTCATGCCCCCCCCAAGGAAGAGGAAAACATCTCGCGCCCCGCCCCCGCACAACTATAAATAGTATCATTTGTCTATGAAATTGTTATAAGTACACCTTTGCATAACACTGTATCCTTATTAACGTTTAAGAGAATAATAAAAAAAAAAATGGACCAACTTACAACAAAGAATAGCTTTAGTAACTGGAACAGAAACGATTTAAAGTGCATTTGAAATTCAAAAATAACATTAAATCCTTAATTTAACAAATATTTTTTGACTGACCATGTCAAACCTTACGATACTGAAAAATAAAATTACATAAAATCAATAACTAATAATGCATTCAAACTAATCACCAATATTATCTCAGGAGCACAATATTTAAAAAAAACTTTAACCAGCAAAACAAAAACATAAAAGAATTTGTGCTTTTTTTTTTTTTGCAATATTCGGCACGTTTTCGCTGAAAAAAACTCAAGCAGCTTATCAGCGTGATTGGGGTGTAATGTCTTTAAGTGACGCCTTAATTTGTTTGGCTTCATGCTGTCCGCTACCAAAAGGTTTAGACACAGTAAGCACATGGATATTTCCTCGTCTACCACCGCAGTCACATTGAAGTCAAGCGCTACAGGCGCTTCGTCATATTTCCTCCCTGAGAATGCTCCCTGCGCAAACTCTGCCAATGAGAACGTCACTGCCCCCTAACGTAGTGGAGGTGCAACTGCACGTTATTTTAGGACAGTAAAAAAATAAAAAAGCATGTTCCCCGAGGTCAAACGCGCCCCCCTTGACGGAGCCTCGCCAATAAATACATACGTCATCAGATCAAAATAAAACATTGTCTGATCATATTAGTGTACCAAAGAGTTTGTACAAGCATGCAGATAATAACTGGAATGAATATATTACACCGTTGTTTGTGCCAAAAAACTAATGAGGTACCTTGGCTGGTCATCAATATGTAGACCACAACAGCTGATGGTGGCCATAGCGATTTAACAGGAGCTTTAAAACAGTGTGGTTATGTCTTGTTAATATATTGGATCCTTTTTATAAAGGCAAAAAAAAAAAAAAGAACATGTCAACATATGCATGCGTTAGTATGTGAGGGTATTTGGTCTCAGTTCAGGGCCTTTTCATTGCACTGTTTACTTTTATGTTTACAAAAGGTGACGCACAGAGACACAGGAGTACTAAAGCTATCCGGGCCTTTCATTGCCTGTCAGAGCAAACATTGACCACGGAGTGAGTTGTGTACTGTTCAAAATGATGACAAGACTGTAGTAGGCACTATTATGGATGTTGTCTTTCCAAACACGCCGTAATATCAAATGATCCCAATCAAGGATGCAATATAAACATTCATATGTTGAATATCGTGACTGAAAAATCTGTGCTTTTTCAAATAGTATTGTCTGGGTTTGTTGTATTTTCCAAAGAAAGCATGGCACCTAACCAGACAGCCACACACACGCAGTCTGAACTTAAACACGCTGATTTCCCTACAAGGCCTTCAGAGATGCACTGAGCCGTACCTGGGCCATAAGAGGAAGTCTTAGCATTGGCAAATCACATTCAAATTTTGTCCTCAAAATTTGCTTGCCTCCCAGCCTACATGGGCTTCATATTATCAACTCTTTCATGTTGGCGATATGCAAACAAGAGCGCTTATCTCTTGTCTTTTCCCCACATGCGGCTAAACTCGGTTTTTAGGTCTTAAAACTGACAATCATGACATTTTAGCGAGAGAGAGAGAGAAACTCAAATTGATATGACCAAATCGGGTTCCTCAAAAATACTGTAACCTGTCCATTGAATTCATTTGGTTATCTCAATGCAGTTTTCCATGACCAGACTTTGCACTCGACAACAACAACAAAATGAATCCCACAAGAAGAAGTACTTCAACAGACAGCAGTATGGTGTTAGCATTATGCTACAATGATCAAGGTCAACTGTCAACTTCTCCTATGACTACCACTACGACTGCTGCTCCTAACCAAAACATGCAATAAATGGAATAGCATACAAGCCTGATTCTAAAATGTTTGAAATTCATTTTTGCTCATCAATTTGCTCAATTCCGTACATTGAGGACTCAAACTTAGAATGTTTCCAAATTGGAACAGAAGAAATGAGATGCACTTTGCCCTGACTGTCACTCATATCCTTTCATTTCTTTTGATTGTCTTTTGAGATATTCAAAAGACCTTCAGTGAAATTCTCTCAGTGTTTTAATTCCAACTGAATTCTTTGTGTGGTACAAAAAAACCACCTGTTGCATGTTTGCTGTCAAGTAAGAAACACAAAAAGGATTTAAGTGTTGTTCACGTCTTTTTTTTTGTCTTAACAGAGTGGTTCAACAACTCCACCTTCTTTCGTTCAGATGTCAGGTGAGAAAATGACTCAGAAAAAAACCCAGCAACTTTAATGAATGAATGAAGGACCAACTACACTGTTCACTTTATACACATTAGTGAACCTTCAATATATTAAGAGAACAACTCATGTTTTCTAGTATTGTTGTAGTTTGCATTAGTCGCAGGGGTGTCAAATTCCGGTCCTGGAGGGCCGCTGGAAGAGAACAACTCATGTTTTTTAGTATTGTTGTAGTTTGCATTAGTGTGTCATTCTGATAGCGGTTACCCTTCTCATAAAGCTAAATAACAAACTCAAATGTGACAACTGCAATAGCTGGAAGCCCATCCAGGAAGTACCTCGCCTCTTGCCCACCCTCATCTAAGAGAGGCTCCATCTCACCTGTGACTCTAATGAGAACAGGTGGCAGAGAAATTGGATGCGTGGAAAGGCAAGAAACATTTCCTGACTTGTGAAACGAAATTCTTCACCATTCCAAAACCACAATGATGAACATATTGCTCAAGCCATGTCATTGCAGAGCAGCATTATTATGTTTACAGGGTCGAGCACGTAGTGTGTCTCATAAAAGCTTGAAGCAAATTGTTTTTGTCAGTCCATAAAAATTGTCCCACTCTTTCCTACAGGGTCTCATATGTTACCCAGCTACTACGGTATGAGGCGTCCTTTCATATCGGATTCGGACTTTGGTCCATCTACCAAGCAGTTCTCACCAGATGTGTACCCATCTACCTTTGGAGGCAGACCACTGGGCTGTGAGACATCAAGCTTCTCTCTCATTGACACCTACTACCCTGACACTTTCAGTGAATACCGCAACACCACCACCACCACCACCTTCTCAGGCTCTGGAGGATCTTTCCTACCTTCTTCGTCCCTATCATCGCTTTTGCCTCCTTTCAGTGGAGAGTCATCACATGTATATATGGTAGGAATCTTTGCCATTGTTAGTCTATTCATAGACTGTATCCACCTTATTACTGTACTTTAGTACATTCATAGAGAAACGATTATGCGTGCGACTTCCCGGAAAAGAATTCCTGTCAGAGTTTTGCTATTTGGTACCATGGGTTTCATTTCACGGAGTTGTTTGAATGTTTTTTTTTTCACCCCCTTTTCTAAATGGTCCTAAGCTCCTTTGACATTGAAAAATGGCTTACACGGCTTGGGGCGGTTGTACTATAGTGAAATTCCTCTGTAACAAAATCATGTTTGCAGCCAGAAATTTTTCACAACAGGGGACTTTTCACTGTAGCAAATTTTATCTCAGACATGAACATAAACATGAACACACACAAAAACGTATATGTGTACTTTTAATTTTTATTCCAATAGTGCATAAGTATGAGCATACACTTATTTGACACTTCATATAGCCAGTGTAGAAAGAAAAAAAGGGAAAGAAATTACGAAATTTACGATCCGCATTTACTTTCACTTACACCAATTTCTTGCATAATGTCTTTTATTTTGCTTCCTCCATCTTTCATTTTTATTACCTTTATCCTGTCTTCAAGCGTTAAAGCTTTTCTTTTCTTAACTCCTTGGTATGCAAAGGTCCATTTTGTCGCCATTTTAGCAATGCAACTTTTGTGCTGCGTTTGAAACAAATATTTCCTGTACTACTGCGCATGAGTAAACCAGCGTGGTGGTTGTTGTTGCCGTTTCCGAACGAAGCAGTAGAGGTCGCTGTGGCATGCTGAGGTTGGATTAGACTTTTGCGGAAGGCTTGTTTTCGTTGTAGTGAATCTCGTTGCAAGGCAAGAGCGGAGAAAAAGATTTCGTATAACGGAACAGGGGGACTTTTCATTGTAGGGGCAGCAGAAAAGTGGAAATGGCTTTCATGCATGAAAATATTTTCACACTAGGGGGTATTTTCGCCCATGTAGGTTTCGTTCTTGAGGAGTTTCACTGTAACATCAGAAGAAGTTCAATCTGTGACTACAAGAGCAATGTTTTGAAATGGCACACCGGACCAGGAGGAGAGAATGTTGTGATAAACGTTTCCAGCCACTGCCTGGGAATGAGGATCACACACACACACACACACACACACACACACAAAAAGTCTGAGAATCTTCATTTGAAAAGACCACCTCAACATACCTCTGCTCCTTCTCATTTTTTGGACAAAGAGCATGTTGCCACAACACACATATTGAACATTGTGCCCAGTAAACTGTCGTGAGCGCTTTTGGAGAGAAAGACGATATGCTCATAAAATTATAAAATTCAAAACATTGGGGTCGATTGTTCTTATATTTGCAGCAGACGGTTGAAGTTGACATAAGTAGAGATTGTTAAGGAATTATTCCTCTCTGTCAGTTGGATTTGAAATTAACGAACACGCGGAGGAAGAGAAAGGCCACTCTCTCCCCCAACAAGATGTTCACAGAAACTTTAAAGATTTATGATGCGGCTTTATGATGTCGAGCGACGTGAATCTTTATTATACATTAGGCTAAATAAGAGTGTGACCAAAGTCATTTGACAAAATATACCAACTCACGAGTCATATAGATGCTGATGCACCCCAGAGCTATTGAGATACCTGATTGCAGGGGTGGCCAACCGGTGGCTCGCGAGCCGCAAGCGGCTCTTCGGCTGGTTCAATGCGGCTCCCGGGCTTTCACATGACAAGCGTCGAAAACGCCTCCGCGATGGCGCTGACATTCAAACAACGGCACTATGTACAGCAGAACTTATGATGTCAGCCTATCATCAAGCCCGTTACTTGATTGACATACAGGGCAACCAATCAGATGACAACTGAATCACTGCTGATGCGCAAACAATGGCACTAAGCGCTAAGCTAGTCAGCGAATTACCTCACATTTTAAGGCAGATGTGCCCAATACGTCAATCACAATCGACCGAGAGCCAGCGGACTGGTCCCAAGTCGACCGCGAGGATTGGGAGGAGGAAATGGTGGGGGGACTTTGTGTGTCTGTGTGGGACGTTGCGGCTGTCGCTCATCTCGGCGTGCGTGCATGCGTGCTTATGCGCACGTGTGCGTGGTTGGGCGCCTGCGTGCGTGCGCGTGAAAATGCTTGCACGTGCGTGATCAGGCCGATCGTGGGATGTTCATCGCTCCAAAAGTCGATCTTCGGTCAAATATGTAGCAAGCTGACCCAAGTAATAAGTAACCACTGCAGCTACCATGCAGACAGTGCCTGTTTCGAGTGGCAACAACGGAATACAAGCCGGATTTGAAGAGGATTGTTCAAGAGAAGGAATGCCAAAAGTCCCTGCACTAAGGCGCTAAGCAACATGCATGCTAAGAGAAAAACGTTATTATATTTTTGTTTGTGGACATGGTTGAACTGGGAGTTTGTGTGTGTGGGGGACAGTGCACACAATATTCATTGTTGAAAATGACTGGCCTGTGGTCTTTGTACTGTAGGAGTCAATTTCTGTCATTATCCTGTTGGTGGGTGACATTTACAATCATGTAGCTGAGCAGAAGTCTGTGTGCATGTGTGCGTGTGTGTGCGTGCGTGCGTGCGTGCGTGCGTGCGTGCGTGTGTGTGTGTGTGTGTGTGTGTGTGTGTGTGTGTGGAAGGGATGCAGTGATGTTTATGTGTGTCCATGTGCATGAGGTGGCTCTTTGCAGTAACACAGTAAAAAAATTGGCTCTTGGTCTCTGACTAGTTGGCCACCGCTGCCTTATTGCCTCACTGCCTGAAGCAAACAAAGTTCAGAAAATAGCTCAACATGTGACAATACCTTGTCGCTGGCCTCTTCATACTTCCATAGTTTTTTTTTGTTTGGTAGCAAACTGTGAGATTTTCGAAAGTCAAATGGGTGCCCTTTGTTTTTGCAGCCCAGGAAAGGTGGTTTGACTTCTTTATTGTCTGATTTAATCGAAACAGGAACTACCCCCCCCCCCTCCGCCAGCACAAACATGCCCAACAGTTTAATCGGTCATTTACAAGTAAACTGTAGTAACGAAATATGCTATACTGGATTTAAAAAAATGCACAGGCACATTTTGACCAAGTCAGTTATTCTTTCATATACCACTAGTGGGAGGAGCCTGCACACCACTAACGGTGCTTGTACCACACTTTGAGAATTCAAACATTCATATGCCATACCGCTTATCCTCACGACTGAACTAAACCAAAAGTGACTCCCATGCCGACATGGGCCCACCAGTGGCTGGCACACCTTGTTGGGAAACATCGTCTTACTCTTGTTTTATCGTCTTCAGAGAGACTCGTGGGAGCAGTCGGTTCCAGAGCCAGTTCCCCAGGTGGACGCTCTCTGTCCAGACGACTTGGCTTCTGTCAGCGTCCCATCGTCTATGCCCAGCCCGGAATCCCAGGGGAGCCCCTCCCAACCAAGCCAAGGCTCGTCGTCAATGGGTCCGGGTTCCACCAGCCTGTCCTACACGCTGCACTCCCTTGAGGATGCGCAGTACCACCTATTAACCTCCAGCAACTCCTACACAGCCCCATCCTCCTCCTTCCCCTGTTCTCCCTACATGAACAACGACTTGGCGTCCAAGATCGTCACAGAGGAGGCAGCAGACGGCCACACGAGTCTCCCTTTAAATATGGAGGCTCACACTTCTTGGGATAAGGAGGACGCCGTGACCTCCTGGTGTCCCTACGAGCTAAGGAGGACCTACTGACTGTATCTCACGTGTCTGAGCTTTGAGTATTTTTCAGGAGAAAAAGGATCTGTGACTCAGATCACAGGGAGGAGTCGATGGACCTTAATTCAGTTGGTGTTGAAAAACTCAACAAGCACTTGGCCGTAGTGGAGAATCAAAGTTTCCACAAAGTCAAAGGACCACTAAAAACATGGCCCACTTCATCTGTAGAGGTTGCAATTCAACAAATAATTCTTACAACCTATTTGTTGGGTAGGATATTCAACACAATTTCCAAAAAAGCTACACTTCAAATCATAAAGTTCCCGATTATGGGGACGCTAATTTTAAACAGGTCGAAATATAACCCACGCATTGAATGTATCATATGATTCTATCCTTCCAGTAAATCAATGATTTCTCCTTCTGAGAGGGCGCGCGACAGAATTTATTGCTACCCGAGACAAGATAAGTTATCTTGGCATTCTTATCGCTTGAGTCGTGACTTTCAACTTATCAAACGTATTGAATTGAAGCGGACGTGCAGCTTTGGCTGGAGTGATATCGAACACAACTGCCCACCATCGACATCTCCTTTTTCAGAGCAAGAGCCCAAATGTGTCTTTGTTTGCTCTCGAGCTGCTGCACCTTCACCTGACTTTGATCGCTGATGATCAGTCTTTTTTTTTTTTTTTTTTTTTTTTTTTTTTAAAACATAAATTTCTGCATGTTCCTGTCTGAGCAGTTTTCTTTTGATGATGATTGATGTCACCGAATATGCAAATACATGTTTGGCGGCTTTTTGGGACCTTTCAAAGACATGCTCATCAAAAAATGCGAATATCATGAAAAAGTTGATTTATTTCAGTAATGCTGTTCAAAAAAAAAAAAAAAAAGAAACTTGTGTACTGCATACATTCATTCCACACAGATTGAGATGTTTCAATTGTTCATTCATTTGAATTTAGATGATTGTATCTTAAAACGAATTTTAAAAAACCCAAATTCAAAATTACTTTAAGACAATACAAAGAAAGGAGTTTTAGAAATGTTGGCCACACAAAAAGTAGATGCGTGAAAAGTATGTACATGTACAGCACTCCATACGTAGTTAACTTACTTAATTACTGCAGCAATGCGACGCGGCATGGAGTCGATCAGTGTGTGGCGCTGCTCAGGTGTTATGAGAGCCCATGTTGCTCTGACAGTGGCCTTCGCAGCTTCCTCTTCACAATAGCCCAGAGTTTTTCTCTGAGGTTTGCTGGCCAGTCAAGAACAGGAATACCATGGTCCTTACACCAGACACTGAGAGCTTTGGCACTGTGTACAGCCACCAAGTCCTGTTGGAAAATAAAATCTGCATCTCCATAAAATTGGTCAACAGCAGGAGGCATCAAGTGCTCTAAAATTTCCTGGAAGACGCTGCGTTGACCTTGGACTTCAGGAAGCACAAAGGACCAACACAAGCAGATGTCATGGCACCCCGAACCATGACTGACTGTGGAAAGTTGACCCTGGACCTCAAGCAACGTGGATTCCGTGACTCCCTTCTTGCTTCCTCCAGACACTGGCTGGTTTCCAAACGAAATACAAAATTAGCTTTCATCAGATAATATGACTTTGGACCACTCAGCAGGAGTCAAGTCCTTTTTGACTTTAGCCCAGGCAAGACCCTTCTGACGCTGTTTGTTATTCAAGCGTGGCTTGTCAAAAGGTACACAAGCTATGCGACAACTGAAACCCTTGTCTCACATATGTCTGTGCATGGTGGATCCTGAAGCTCTTGATTCCAGTTGCAGTCCAGTCTTTGTTAATCTCCCCCACATTTATTTTCATTCGTTTTTTTTTTTAATTAGTTTTCAGATCCAATCATCCACCCATCCATCCATCCATTTTCTGATCCGCTTGTCCTCACAAGGGTTTCAGAGTGTTCTGGAGCCTATCCCTGCTGTCTTCGGGCAGGGTACACCCTGAAGTGGTTGCCAGCCAAACGCAGGGCACACACACAAACAACCATCCACACGCACAATCACATATAGGGAGAATTTAGAGTGTTCCATCAATGTGCCACGCATGTTTTTGGAACATGGGAGGAAACCGGAATACCCGGAGAAAACCCACACAGGCACGGGGAGAACATGCAAACTCCACACTGGAAGGCCGGAGATCGAAACCTGCACCTCTGCACTGTGAGGCCAACGCGCTAACCAGTCGGCCGCCGAGAGCTCAATCAGTCAGTCAAGCAAGCTTTATTTCGATCACACTTTTCATCCATAAACATGCAACTCAAAATGCAGATCTAATCATCTAAATTCAAATGAATTAACACTTGAAATGTATCTGTCACAAATTTGACCGTTTGAATAGAATTACTGAAATAAATCTACTTTTTCATGATATTCAAATTTTAGGAAGAGCACCTGAATGTTGCAAAGTTATGTGTGATACATATCTAAGTACAGAATGTGATCATAAAACTACCAAACGAGTCAATATGTTCAGTAGTTCAGTACAAGTCTTTTTTTTTTTTTTTCTAGTGAGGCGCATGGAGAAAAGTTAAGGATTTTGACTGTGGTGATTTTAAGGTTTTGTTTAATGGTTGTCATGATGTTTAATAAAACATATTTCTCTTCAATGGCTTTAAATTCAAGAGAAGTATCTCAACAAAAGTATTTGCAGCAGCGTCATTTGTGCTATAATTTAATCTGAAACCAAGTAGAAAACATGTCTGTTAATTCAAAAGCAGGCTCATGTTTATACCTTTAATATTTGTTCCAAAATTGTGATTTGGTGGAGGAATACAATATGAAGCGTCATCAAAATGTAATTCCAAATGTCGTTTTATTAAATAAAAAAGGGTGGATTTAAACAGGGAAACGTGATTTTTGTATCTGAGGATGGGTTCGAGGAAAGACGACGTTCTCATTTTTGAACAGCAGGGGGCGACATTACATCGCCTGAGAGAGCGAGAGAGAGAGAGAGAGAGAGAGAGAGAGAGAGAGAGGTTTGTCCGCGCAAGAAACGTACAGTACTGTGCATTAGATTAGTGAAATACCGCAAAAAAAAAACTAAACTAAAATAAAAATATGCATGAGGAAAAGTACAAAATATAAAAACAAGACAGAATATAAAACATAGCCCTGATAAATGAATTACCAAAACAGTATTTTAGGCACAAAGTGTGAACACCTATTGATTTCTTCTGCAATATATTACAGTACTGACAATAATTAACGACTACTCTTAGTGGTGACCCTAAAAACTGAATCAAAATCTCAAACTTGCCTTGAATGCTACTGTCACATTATTGTAGCCATATCGATCTGATGGAAATGGCCGTTTGTCTATACGAGCCGTTTGCTCAACATAACTGAGCAAAAGTATGGCACAATGTATACATTTTAGTAGACGACATTATAACAACTCCAGTTTCCAAAACCCAAAAATGCATAACAGCAAACGAGCCAAAACTGAATGAAACAAGTGAATTTAGACTATGAGTCAACATGGTGTCCTTTATTTGTATTGAAAAAAAATCGTTTAACTAGTTAGGTGCAATAACGAATAAAGAGAATAAAACTATTTTTTAAAATACGGAATCCAGTTGAATCTGAACCCCTTCAGACGTCATAATTGGACCCGTTTCTGCTCTTTCTGCACTTGCTGAAGGCCCGCGGATCCAAAGATGGCTACTGCCCTTTGCCACGCCCACCCGAGTCCCACTTTTCTCCGCTTTTTTCATTATAAAAGCATTAAATGTGTCCGATCGCGGTATTGACGCTTGGGGCGAGCCCTTCCAATATGTGGTGATCGATTAAAGTGAGGTTACGGTGTTTAAGTTGCGCAGAAGACGCACGCTTGCCCTCCTGCTTAATGAGGGGGTGTGCTGCTGTCATCTTTCAAAAGGAGGATAAATGAGTAGAAATATGATTTATTTTCGATCCAAATGTAAAATAAAGTGATCATCTATTAAAAATGTACATATAGAATGCACCAATTTAGTGTATTTTGCCTAAAAATCGATATAACTCCGTTGCCTCTGAATATTCAAATCGAAAGTAACGCGCAATCAAATCATTGTCAAATCATTGAGTTCTAAGGGTTTTAAATAGTAGGCATGGAGGGAGAAAATCCCAAACTAATATGTTCCCAGCTGCATTACAATATTGTTGTATGCTCTGAGGCTGCTCTAAGAGATTTGGGTTGGTATTTTTGGAGACTTTTGTACAATTTTCGTTCTTGGTCATTGTGCTGAGGCAGAAAGGGACATTGAGGAGCCCCACGGGTCTTGATCAGGGAAACTTCTCATCATCTCTGTCGTCATGTCTGGTGAGTTTCGAGAAGGATTTTCATCAAGTCCAATCCACGTGTAGCTTTTTCTCCTGATAAATAACAACAAACAAAAAAAGAGAACATAAGTGATGCTTGAATTGTTAACTAAAGCACTAATTAAACCACGAGGAGAACATGTGTTTTCCCCCTTCACTTCGCGGCCGCAAATTTCGTTCAAAGTTGGATTTATTGTCAGCTTAACAAAAGATGACAAATATTTACTATTTGATACCACTTTTTTCTTAGTTCACCAGGGGAGTCCTTTTTCATTCAAATTAACCTGTCCCTCTCACTAACCGTACTGTGCGATGCATTACTATTTTTTTTCCATTACGTGTTAATTTGCGTTTTCACAGCACACATGATATTCATTTTATCCAACAACCATTAGCAAAAAAAAAAAAAGTAACATTTGGACAGTTTTCTTTGTCTTATGCAAGCTGACTTTGTGGAACGGGGAGTTATGACTAACGTGTTTCAGTGGGATGTGTCTGCCGTGCAATTTTTGGCCCTCTCTTTGCCACGTTTAAGACAAATCATAGACTAGCATTTAGATGTATGAATATTTATCAGATGGCGTCCCTCGTTGTCGGGTTAGTAGTGCCTTATCAAATTGGCATTCCCGAGTATTCTGAGCCTTTGGGCGAAATCCCACGCACTGATGCAAACACTTTCCATTGCATCTTTATTCTCATTCAGAGGATTTTTTTTCGACACATATGTTGATTATTTCAACCGTGCAGAAGGTCGATTTTAATATGTAACAGAGATCGGCGAGAGCAATTTCACTCTACGCGCAACACAGACGTCGCCCTTACACAAAATCAATAAATTCACAACATTCCTTCCGAATCCTCAAAGTTTTCGCGCTCTAAAGTTGTGTTTGGACGCAAACGTAAACATTTACAGTGATTTTTGACACATCGAAGGAGTTCACTTATCCGACCTTTATACGGAACTTTTTTTTTCTCTCCCATTCATTTGATTGTATTTTACGCGGACTATCCCGACCGACCGACAACCACATTTTCCCTTTCGATCAATGTCGGGCATAGCAATCTATTACACGTGAGAAAATCAATGTACACGTTTAGTCGCATATTTTCTACAGCTTACCAGAGTGTTCTGGTTTGGGTGGGGTGGTTGGAAGAGCGCGTCAAGCAGATCCACAGCTTGGAGAGGAAGCTTTCACTCGCTCCGTGGTGGGAAGTTTCAAGGCTAATTGCTGGAAGGGGCGCGTTGATCGGGGAAGAGCGCACAGGCTCACCGGGGTGAAGGAAACAGTCAATGAGTTCAGCAGCGATTCTGTGCGCATTTACGCTTACTGTATTTACGCACGCTTAAAAAAACGTGGGAAAGTTGGAGCATAAAGAACAGAAAACACGTGCAAAGGCATTTCTTTTTAATTTCATTTTTTTGATAATTACATATTTAAAATACGTGCATGTTTCCCATATACCTTATGCAAACACTTTCCATTGCATCTTTATTCTCATTCAGAGGATTTTTTTTCGACACATATGTTGATTATTTCAACCGTGCAGAAGGTCGATTTTAATATGTAACAGAGATCGGCGAGAGCAATTTCACTCTACGCGCAACACAGACGTCGCCCTTACACAAAATCAATAAATTCACAACATTCCTTCCGAATCCTCAAAGTTTTCGCGCTCTAAAGTTGTGTTTGGACGCAAACGTAAACATTTACAGTGATTTTTGACACATCGAAGGAGTTCACTTATCCGACCTTTATACGGAACTTTTTTTTTCTCTCCCATTCATTTGATTGTATTTTACGCGGACTATCCCGACCGACCGACAACCACATTTTCCCTTTCGATCAATGTCGGGCATAGCAATCTATTACACGTGAGAAAATCAATGTACACGTTTAGTCGCATATTTTCTACAGCTTACCAGAGTGTTCTGGTTTGGGTGGGGTGGTTGGAAGAGCGCGTCAAGCAGATCCACAGCTTGGAGAGGAAGCTTTCACTCGCTCCGTGGTGGGAAGTTTCAAGGCTAATTGCTGGAAGGGGCGCGTTGATCGGGGAAGAGCGCACAGGCTCACCGGGGTGAAGGAAACAGTCAATGAGTTCAGCAGCGATTCTGTGCGCATTTACGCTTACTGTATTTACGCACGCTTAAAAAAACGTGGGAAAGTTGGAGCATAAAGAACAGAAAACACGTGCAAAGGCATTTCTTTTTAATTTCATTTTTTTGATAATTACATATTTAAAATACGTGCATGTTTCCCATATACCTTCAAGACACAGAACTGTATATTATCACGTGGTTATTCTTTTCTTTTTGTGTGTGTGTGTGTGGGGGGGGGGGGTTATGAGAGTAAAATAGACCAGAAACAAATAAATATTTCATTCTTATCCAGAGAGAAAAACATTAGGGACTCGAATGAATAGGATTCTGAGGAGGGGGCGCAGGCGTCGTGTTGTTGGGGTAGGGGAGGCTGGGAGCCGAGTGGGTGTTTGTTATTGTCCATTATTTGGTAAACAGGAGTGGCATGACCCCCCCCCCCCCGACTCCTATCAACCCTACAGATAAACCACGGGTGTACCAAGGAGTGAGAGTGAAGACCACAGTCAAAGAGCTCCTGCAGAGGCACCGAGCCCGCGAGGCCAACCGTAAAAAAGTCAAAACGGTAATTCCACTCTCAGCACATATTAGTCATGCAACTGTATTGCCTGTAAACTAAATCATGGGGAGAACATAAATAAACTTTACATGTAAATAAAAGAGTGTTCTCCCAGAAAAACACACCCAAACCCACTGACACATGTTGCCTAATACAAGCAGCACATGAAACACGTAAAAAAAAAAAAAAAAAAAAAATCGGCCATTCCTCCATGTTTAAATATTGCTTTTCTCTCTGACATTCAGATACCTCAAGACTGCTTGGATCTTCAGGGTTTATGTGCGTCACCTCTTCCGAGTAAGTCTACACAGCGGTTTCGAAACTTTGCATATGACGAATTACCAACACAATAATTGCAATGGCAAAGCGCTCTGCATGCAGATTACAAATGACTCAAATTAAACGTCTGAAAAATCTTTGAATTCCGTGGCGACCAAGGACTGAGCCCCAAAACCAAATATACTCACATAAAACGCCATGCAGATCATTGCAACATTTGACAACACAATTGGAAGTGCGCAGGGCTTCTATTTATAAACGTTTGTGTCCGTTGGTGATGTTGTGACATCACTCTCTTAAATTACGGACCCATTTAAAAGTCCTCTTTTATTTATTATAGAAGCTCTTAAAACTGTCAAAAAAGAGGTGGGAAAGAATTCTGGGTCCAGGCACTCAGATGGTTACTGGAAATGTAGAAGTCTCTAAAGCTATAAATTAAAGCATTTTGCATTTACAGCACCCGGCTGGAGGGATTCATGCCAACCTATTTTTGATTTATTTTTTTTAACCCTTTCAAGAGCACCAGTGCTCTCGAGCGCCACCTCTTCTTTGTATTCTGATGAGAAGATGTTCACTATACTCACCAATTCATTCATTCATTTTCTGATCTGTTTATCCTCACGGGGGTCGCGGGGCGTGCTGAAGCCTGTCCCATCTGTCTTCAGGCAGTATAGGCGGGATACACCCTGCGAACTGATTGCCAGCCAAACCCACCAATTAGATGATCTTAATTGTTAGACTTTAAGGGGGTGGAGGACTGAGTTGGTGTGGCCATTCATTTGAACGATTGTTTCGCGATGGACTGGGGGGCATTTTTTGTAATCACCACTTATTTATTGATGTATTTATTCATTTAAGTATTTATTTATGAATATAATCCAGGTAGCTATGTGGATCCCCCCGCCACTCCCAATGTGGACCCCGTCACTTGTGGCTCTGCCGCGGTGCAGCCGCGCCCCGCCTCCTTCATTGTACCCGACAAAGGGTGCAGCATCCAGGCAACGGAGAGCGGTTTTCCGTGCAGCCAGCAGCCGTTTGGGGACATGATGGTGCCTCCTGACTGCTTCGGTGGAAACAACATCCCCAACGACAGCGATTGTTGCTACAACAACATCTCCATGCCTCTCCCCCCTTCCTTGCCGCTGTCCTGGAGCCACGGCCTTCCCTTGGACTCAGACAACTATGGCCACGGGCTGGTAGGTTTGCACACCAGCAGCCTTCAGAAAAGTGTTGTTCGTCCTAAAAAAAAAACCGTAAAATTGTCCAACAGGGAGTATTAGTAATTAATTTTCTGCTTATGATTTAGACTACCACAGTGTTCCAAAACGGCTCGAGAATTTGTCTTTTTAAACAATCGACGGACAATATAATAGACGATAAGCACCGCAAGGCCAGTTAAATTTACGCGTCATAAGTACTACAGGTCCCAGAATGCACCGCGCTAATGCAAAAGAACGTGGCTCCACACGATCGCCGTCACACTCGCGAGAGGAGGTTGTGTCTAGTATTCCCAGAAGTAACTCAACACTTCTCTGCTGGCAACTACCTGAGGTAGCACAATTAATTTGATGAACGAAATAAAGCGCAGATTTGAAACACATTTGTGTGCGTGTGTATGTATTAGCGCACGTAATTGTTAGACGATATCATTATTGGCCCCATCATGGTGACCGATGCTGGAGAATATTACAGCCATTCAAAAAGGTCCAACCTAAAAGGTGAATAGATTGAGAGTTATTTCGCCACATTAATAGACCATCTGATCACTTTGCTGAAATAAAAACGGCTTTGTAATGTGTCATCTCACCGAACGGTGGTTTAAAGGAGGAAATGAGCGGCTGTATAGCCAAACCGTATGTTACTTTGCAATTACCATGTTCGTTTATGTGGTTTTGAGCAAAGCCCTCAATTATTGTTGCAGAAAAGGTGTAATATTTTTGAACCACTAAACGTTTGAGCCGAAGAAAGTCCGAGCTCACCTTTGCCAAAGTATGTGAAGCGGTGATATTATTTTGCCCGATTAGAAAATTAAACATTTCAGTTTATCAGACCCATTGGTTTGAAAACTGGACTCCCGGATTCACAAAAGTGAAATGATCTGTTTTAGGTCCCCTGCTCCTCACCAGAGTCACTAAAGCTGTGCAGCCCAGTGGATCACAATAGCTACTCGCCACAGGATTCTTTCTCCTCCTCTTCCTCTTCCTCTTGCTATGACTCGCCCACAAGGATGGAGTGCAACACCATTAGCTACTCCGCAGAGAACTACCACAACCAGAACTGCACCCTTCAGGACTGTTACTGCATGCCTCAGTGCTGGGCCAACCTGCAGGAGAGCTTCTGCCCTCCTGAATACTCCCCTTACTACCCTACCACAGATTATACATACCCCTGCCTCATGGAGGAGAATTATTTCAAGAGCAATTTTGCATTGGGCACTGAAATGTGTTATAATGTATTATGATGATGTGTTCAATTCTTTTCAAGCGCGCAATAAGGATCCGCTTGTGCGTGTCTCGAAGCAAGGGTGGAGTGGATAAGATGAATGGATATTGGATGGATGAAGTGGCTGAGTTTATCAGGGTTTTTCTTTTTTTTTTTACTCAGATTTATTTTCATACCCATGACAAATCTGTGTTTGTAATAAAATATTAAAACACACTCAGTTTGAGCTCCCAATTGTCCTATACATATTCACGGTCACACAAATAGAACTTTTCAAGTGTAACAACGTGGGATATGATCTTTATAAATTTCCAGGTGCTCATGGATAAATCTAGTACTTGGGTACTGATACAGATTTAACATAATAGCAAATTCTATGTATAATCTGGACCTACAGGTACAATTTGTGTGTCCTTCCATTTTCTAAACCATTCGTTTTCTTAGCATTGCAGGACAACTTGGAGCCGATCGCGGCTAACCTTGGGGCAGAAATGGGGTCAGGGTTGAATCCAGTATTTTGGACGTATGGGGGAAGGGGGGAGATCCTTGAGGAGTAAGCCACATTTTCTGAGCAAATGAACATGCCCTTGCATTGAACTGGTCCTCTCCATGGTGGCTTAAGAACTAAATAACCTACTGTCAAACTCTGGTTGAGGTAAAACACACACACACACACACAAACACACGGTGAAAAAGTTTTGGACAATTTATAATGACAAATGATTTGTTTTTAAGACAAGCCACGAATGGAAATCAGATTCAACGGTCAATATTTCTGACATGTTTTAAATCAAACACTACCCCAGTCATCCTCAAAACTTAAAGTGCTCCAGGTCTCAGTTTGAAAACGGAAAATCCTCTGACACCCACCAAAACCTCAACACATGACACCAGAGTCATAATTCCCAAATACCTGGATGTAGTTTTCATAACCAGAATAAGTCTATGTATGGGGAAAAGGTCAAATAATAATCAGTCCAATTCATTTATTCTGAATGTTCATGTAAAAATATGACAGATATGAATAATTATAATACATTTGCATTTTGTCCCTCAACATAAATATATATGAAAATACAGAATGTAGAAGAAAATATCGAATCTGACCATTTACTCACTTATGTAACGGACAAGTGAACATTAGTAAAACTTCACTCCTTGGCAGAGGTGTCAGGTAATGACATATAAATACTTACTTCATTAAAATTTTTTCTTAACAATATGTTCGACACACCTTCACGAGTTTAAACATTGCATTATGGTTCGTATTGCGTTTGTGGAGTATGAGTTCAGTGACCAAATCCAGCCATCTCAGGGGCGGCCATTTTGTCGGCTGAAAATGACCTTACAGTTGCTCAGGACTCAGGTCACGACCATCACAGCTCACCTGTTTTCTAAAGCTGAGCAATGATTGGTCATTACCTGAGCACTGAGCAACTCTGCTTCCCAATACACAATAATGATCAGAATGCTTTGTTGAGATGATACTGCATAGAACATATGACTGCAAAGAATTTTTTAGGTTGATTTCCCCTTTAAAAAAACCTCATTCTATTTCATTGTGTTCTTTCTGGCTTGTCATTTTTCAAAAATGTTTAAAAAAAACAACAAAAAACCTACGTGGTATGCACTCAAAACTCACCAGGATAGATTAATTTTGATGGTGGTTGGATGAGAAGTATTCGATCAAAAACGTAGGTCGTTAGCCACTAAAATCCACAAAATGTTAGACCACCTGTGCCTGAATTAAGACCTCTTTCACCTGGTCTAAAGCCTAGTCCATTTTCTGTCACCAAATTGGAAGCTGCACTGGGAGCGTGTGTCCAATTCTCTCATACTGGTCACGGAATGTTTAAAATGGCACTTTATGGCAAAGAACTTTATTAGGATCAGATTTTTTTTTTTAATGTTGCATGTAGCCAGCAGCTCTAAAAATATTCATCATCACCTTGGAACTGCATCTGCAGTTAATGGTGGTCACAACTTGGACATTTTCACTTAGAGCACTGGTGTCAAACTCTAGGCCTGGGGCCAGATATGGCCCGCCACATCATTTTAGGTGGCCTGTGAAAGCAAATCAAACGTCAACTTCTATGATGCTTGCTACAATCTGAACCTAACTTTCAAATTCTTGTATGTACTGTAATATATAAAAGATATTGTAAGTTTTCTTGTTCCCAAATCCCTCATTACAGTAACTTAAATTATAGTTGAATAAACCATTATGCTTGTCTTCTTCATATGGTTTCAGAGTCATAATGGCCCTCCAAGGGAAACGGTAACTATAACATGGCCTGTGACAAAAAAATGAGTTAGAGGGTTTGATAAAAGTGTATTATGAGAAGTGCTGGTGATTAACTGTCATCAACAATGAGTAACGTTCATGCATGGGATTTCAATACAAAATATTTACAGTGTACTGTATAAAAGGTTAAATCTCTCCTATGACTAAAAAGGAAAAAAAAAAAAGAAAGAAAAAAAAGAACAAGGATTTGGTAGCTTGCATAACACTCACTCACACCTCATTCCTGATGTTTTGTAGTAGATACAGTTCACTGCCAAAGTTAAGCATTAAGAGATTGCTGGGCATGCACGTGCATGTGTGAGAGGCGGCACGTGTGCACTTCGTGTTTGTACTTTACTTTCCTGACACAAGCCCTCACATGTGGAGAACAGGTCACATTCATTAAATGACTTTCTTTGTGGTTAACGAAGGCTCTTCTGCAGATTAGTATTCAACCTGACACTGTTTGTTCAGTACTTTTACCGCATAACACAAAAAACAATGTCAAATACCAAATTGTTTGAACTGAATTTGAATGGAAGATTAAGAGCTCCAAATAAAATTGAAATTATGAGAGTGCAGTGTCAATCGTTGGTTGTATGCCGTACCGTGTGATTGAATGAGGGTCCCTCGCCATTGTCGGCTGGGATAAACTTGAGCTGCTTGAGATCTTCAACAGTGGTTTGGTTTAGAACGTGGAAAGAGAGAAAAGTTCTGTGTTGGTTGTTAATGACTGGGGGAAAAAAAAACATAATTGCGCGATTGTAATTGTTGAAGTGCAAATGTAAATTCACTCAATACGAATTGACTCGGAAGACCAGTCGTTTCGAAGCGAGCACGGGGGGGTCAACTGCTGGAAACAAAACGTTCATGTCAGAAACAGTTGCACTCTTTGCCCTCAAAGCTGTGCTGCGTCCTCACTCTGCTTGACTCGCCAGTTGAAAACTTATGGAAATCTTGTTGGTTTATATGACAGCAAATTCATTTATCTGAACTAATGAAGAGTGGGAGAGTCCCTGTAGCATGAATACAGACGCCTTGTGTCCTCTCTGCATGAGGGCGATGAAAGGAAGCTGATGTTTAACTTAGATTAACAGTAAATACACCTGGCACAGCTGTTTGATGGGTCTGCTTATGTCTCAAATAGGGAAGTTCCATGAATCTATTTTTATTATGACCCATATGGTAAATTGTCAGACCCTGAATGGTGAATGCTGCGAAGAGGGATTTCTCAAGAAGCTCTCGGTCTTTGTACCGTGAAAGTTATGAAGTTCCGCCAACCTTTACAGCTGTCCAATTGTTGTTTCCATCCTTTCCTCGTCCAGCTACATTTGGGAGTCTCATGAACTCAAAAGGCTTATTTCAAACGTGTGTTCATTGAACGTTAACACATTGGATATTCTTTCATTCCTTGTCGCTGTTTAACTATTTATTCAGGGAAAGCAGCTGTGCAAGCATGGTTCAGCTGCAACCCCCTCCAAGCGATTGTATCTTATGCTCCCAGCTCAAGTTTGGATCTGCTGCACAAGTCAAGGGCCAGCACTGTCCTCACGCTTAACGGCCTGAGGACATGCAACGAGCACATGTGTATTGACTGAACAAAGACAGCGAGGGCCTGAAGTGAGAGGTGAAAGTGAAGAGCACATTTGTTTGCACTGCGGGTCCAGACACGTTCGGGACTTGACATGATCACACAGGCCAAGACCAGGTGGAGCGGCTGCCTCTGACATCAACCCCCCACCCCTCCACAGACACAAAAAATTCAGCCTTGTGGTCTGCAGTTTGGAATTAGTACTTAATCAGGATGGCTGACAAGCTGCATACAGGCCTGAGGGTTGCATGTGACTGCAGGGGAATTGATATTATGTACCTGTTTGACATGTAAGGTCAGAACATGAGAAGTCAAGTCAAATGTATTTATATATCCTTCAATCACAAAAAATTGTCCACAGTAGACAAATATTAACGACATCCCCTGATCTTAACCTCCAAGAAGGCAAGGAAAACCATCTGGGGAGAAATGAGAAACCTTGAGAAGGGGACACAGATGGGAGAATCCCCCTTGCAGGATGAACAGGCTGCAATGAATGCTGTGTGGGCAACATTTGACACAATATGGTGGTCTACGATGTTAGTTAAAATAATGTATTAGTCCATTTAATAGGGGGAAACACTGCAGGAAGACATTTTTGGAGAGATGAGTACTCCCGGTTTGTCAATGAAGACATCTGCATTGCAGCGCCTCCGAGGAGGTGAACCATCTCTGATTATTCAGATCAGTCGATGCGGATCTTGTCCAGATCAATCAGAGAAGAACATGTCGAGCGACAACCAACTGGGTCATTGTCACTTCACACCTTCTCCAAAACAAAAAATGGGGGAGGCGGGGGGACAGAAACGTTGGCAGTCAAACAGACCAAAAAGTAGTTCAACTGAATGCAAGAGTATACAAATAAGTCCTAAGTCGTGTTTTAAGCATTTCTACTGATGTCGTGACTAATTGCCATGGATAGTGTCTTCCAGAGTACTGGAGGCCTAATAAAACATGCAAAAGAACTTTTTTGGGCTCTCGGGATCACTAAAAGACCAGCGTGTTTGGAATATAGAGTTCAGGACCGAACATACAGTATCACCAATATAGCGAGATAGGAAAGCCATGTAATATTGTGCAAGTTGCAAAACCTTAAAATTGCATTTCAAGTGGAACGGGAACCACCGCAAGTTGGCTCATATCGGAGTAATATGATTGAAGTTGTCCTTGTCAGAAGTCTAGCTGCAGCATTTTATTGTACTAACTGCTGACTTTTAATACTAGAAATGGGAAGACCAGAGAGCAATTTGTTGCAATAATCAAGGCGAGACGTAACAAATGCATAAATTCCGATTTCTGCATCACTAGCAGATACAATGGGAAGGTTCTAGCAATATTGCGAAGG